GGACATTTTTCCTCCCTAGGTGCAGCACTTTGCATTTCTCCTTGTTGAACTGCATTCTGTTGTTTTCTGCCCATATGTCCAACCTGTCCAGGTCTGCTTGTAGTTGTTCCCTGCCCTCTGGTGTGTCTACTTCTCCCCACAGTTTTGTGTCATCTGCAAACTTGGACAGAGTACACTTCACTCCCTCGTCCAAGTCTCTGAAGACATTGAAGAGTATCGGTCCAAGGACCGAGCCCTGCAGGACCCCACTGCCCACACCCTTCCAGGTCGATACCGACTCATCCACTACGACTCTCTGGGTGCGACCCTCTAGCCAATTCGCCACCCACCGGACTGTGTAGTCATCCAAGTCACAGCCTCTTAACTTGTTCACCAGTATGGTGTGGGATACCGTATAGAAGGCCTTCCTGAAGTCTAAGTAAACAACGTCTACCCCTACTCCTGCATCCAGGTGTTTTGTAACCTGGTCATAAAAAGAGACTAGATTAGTCAGGCATGATCTAGCTGCTATGAACCCATGCTGGTTTCCCCTCAGCATAATTTTTCCTGCCGGGCTCTCTCAAATGTGAGCCTTGATAACTTTTTCAAAGACTTTGCCAAGGATGGAGGTGAGACTGACTGGCCTATAGTTGCCTGGGTCCTCCTTCCTCCCCTTCTTGAAAATGGGGACCACATTGGCCCTTTTCCAGGCCTCCAGAACCTGGCCCGTGTGCCATGAATGTTCAAATATTCCCACCAGTGGCTGTGCAATGACGTCAGCCAGTGCCTTCAGTACCCTCGGATGGAGCTCAGGCAGGATTATGCACTGCTGGTGGGACCCTGCCTGCAGTGGGCCATGAGTGACCTGAGAGCCCACTGCTGGCTGCTGCTGCTGCAAAGGGGCTGTGCACCATGTGGGGTGGGGGTCCCCCATCCTGCCTTCCCCCACACCCTTATGTTCCTGTTTACTGGGGACAGAGCTTGGGTCTCATTCAGCTCAGAGCCACTGCTGCCAGCTATGCCCCACTTCTATTTTCTCCAGCCTGCTAAAGCAGCATATGTGGGAGGCATAGAGATGCTCTGGCCAGGTGACAGAACATCTGTTTTGGAGGACCCAGCCTCCAGTTGCTCTGGGGTATGTTCCAGGAGTTTGTACTGCACCACTTTTTTCTGGTGTGTTTTCTTTTCATACCAGTATTTCCTAGTATCAAACATAGAGTCTACACTGTGGGAAACACTTTTTTGTTCATGGTGTGCCTCCTGTGGTGGCTCAAACTGCTTTGAAATACCGCAACAGACATGTGTTTGCAGCTTAAGGCCATGTCCAGACGTGTGGATGTTTTGTCCCCCAGGCACAACTAGTGGTGGCACATCTTGTTGTCCTCAAGGAATGTCTGTGCCACACATGCACTGGTATGTGGCAAGTTACCCTGGGTGGGGTTGGAGAAGCTGGGAACAGCACTTGGCTGGCCTCAGCAGCTTTACCTGGCACCCTGAGGGCTCTTAAGGCGGCAGCAGCAGTGATCCTGCCATGCAAAGCCTGGCCGGCAGTGTAGTGCAGCTCTAGAAGGCTGGGGTTTGGCTTTGGGTGACGCATGCTGCTGCTGCTGCTGCATGCGCAGCTTTGCTTTTTTCTCTGTGGGTTATTTTGACCCACAGAGGAAAAAACCCTCCACACTGCTCCCTTGCAACAGGGAGAACAACAGGACATGCGGTATGTGGTGCCACAGATATGTCTGAGGCACCACATACTGCATGGCCGCACTTATCTGGACATGGCCTAAAAGGCTATTTGTTTGCTTAGAAACCCACTAGTATTTGGGGAGGGGAAAAAAAAACTATTTAACCCTGAAGGGGTTGAATAGAGAAACATGAAGCCATGGTTTTGGACAATCTGTCAGTTTTTCTCATAACCACAATATTTACATTTTCAATTTGTATAATGTCTATAAAGACACTATTGTCAATAGTTATTTCAAAGATTCCTTGGACACTCCGTATACTTAGCAAACTTAGCATTTGCCAAGAGTGCATTTGGAGTAAAACCTCTCTTTACATTGTCTCTCTTCTCCAGAAAGGACATTCTTATTTGTATGAAGAAACACCATTGGTTTACATCAAAGAGACAAATCTAATTAGAAATGTTACTTTGTATTTTAATCTCTCTCTTTTTTTAATATTACATGATGTTCTTATCTAAATAGGGTTTTTCTGCTTCGGGAGGCTGCTGCTACTTCTAGAGGACAATGTACAAATTTCACAGACACAGAAAAGTTTATAAAAAGATACCTCTTGTTTACATTTACGTAAAAGACATTACAGGTTAGTTCAAGTTATACATTTCATAGTCTTAAAACAACTGAAGTCTAAAATATTTGCCATGTACTTGGAATGACTCGGGGAAATATTTGTAGGAAAGTATTATCCATTAGCCTCTAATAGTGTCCATATATCAAGAGTTTGCTAATTGGGGATCAAAATTATATTAATCCTTACTTGTATGAGTAGTTCCCCTGACTGTAATATAACAATTAGATGAGTAATTTGTTACTGGTAGGTGACAAAGAGCACCTCTATATATGAAATTAGTGTGATGCAATAAACTCCGGTGCAGTTCGTGCTAGAGCGTTTAGACATGCACCTAGGACCACAGCACATTGAGCTGGGGCAGTGCAACCCCTGCCTGAGAGCTTGCGGGGATCAGTCTGCCAGCTCAGAGCTGCTCCTCACAGCTCAACGTGCTGCAGTGGGGCTGTTTGGGGCATGAGGGTGCTTCAGTGCTGGGCTAGGTGAGAGGCGACCCCCACACTGTAGCACTCTCATACCCCAGCCAGCCACATCGAGTCTTTGTGGCAGAATAAATAACTCCACCGTAGGATAGTACTTGTGTTGGGCAGTACTATCCTATGGCAGAGTGAATTGGTTTACTCCAGCCTAATAGCACTATTCATGTAGATGGTGACGTTATACTGTGGAGTAATTAGTCAGCTCTGCCATAAAGCATCTTGAATAGATACACCCTAAGATTCACAGTTTGATCCTGCATAAGCATCTCTGAAATTTTCATTCAAGCTGTGGTTTGGTGCACTATCTGTTAACATATTTTAGATATCTCTTTCTTATAATATTCCCCACTTATATATATTAGTCATATCTCAAGTTCATGTTAGGTTTTCCCCTAATCTTTCAGAGGAAAAAGATTTTCACAAAAGGATAACACAATGATTACTTAACAAAAAAAAAAAAAAAAGATTAAGTTAAAGAATTGAAAAAAGCACAATATTTACATGCAAGGCACCATTTATCTTATGCTATTCAAAAGGGTCTCACTTTATAACAGTAACACATTTATGCAAAAGAACACATGAAAAGTTGAGCAATCAGCACAGTTTATCTCCATGTGACATTTCCAAATGCTATTTATATATTTCATGGGTCAGTTTCTTTATGAAAATAGCCCTGTCCTCCAGCTATCTAATGATCTGGCATTTGAAACCAATTCAATTTGTATGTTAAATTTGATGTTAGGGGGAAAAACAGAGACACTCACCACATTTCTTTATGTAGAACTGGTTATCATCATCTTAATTTGTTTGGAAAGCTTGCCTTTTTATTCTCCAAAGCTACAACATGGAATAGAATGTATGAATTAAATAATGTCTGGTTTATTCACTGCTAGGAGTTGGTCTTAGAGAAAATTTCAGACCTAACTAAAGTGGTATCAAAGGGGAGGGTAAGGGCAGCTCCCTAATTACAGGAAGCAGGATAGAGGGGAGAGCAGCTTTTATAGACAGAAAATGCACGGAATTTCAGTGCAGACTTAACTAAGGGATACAGTCTACACCAGGTGTAAGGATAGCATAGACTTACCTACCTTACAATTTTAAAGTGTTGCTCACAATTTAATAGCATGCTTAGCCCAGATTAATTATAAGAAGTGTACTATACTATTAAATCGGGAACAAATTCTTTGTCTGTCTTAGACGAAATGACAAGAATTTTAAAAAGTCAGGTGACTAAAAATCCTTGCTACTTTAATTGACAGCGTTTTGCATCTCCCTCAAGTAGAATTATCTTGCATACAGAGCTTGTGACCATTTTTATTACTTCATCCACTCTGGAGACAAATATCCATTTTTCACTAGAAGACAGTGTAACTGGGGAAATCTCATTGTGTCAGAAGAAGTAAAAAGCAGCTCTTCATTGTTCAAACTTTTAGTGTTCAAAAGAAAATTTTCATATTGGTGTTTTCTGGACAGTTAGGTGGAGTTTCTGGTGTAACTTTAAGGGATAATTCTGCTACTAGTTAGTTTAGTTTTGCTGCTGACTTTAAGGGGAGAGACTTTTCTTCCATATTAACTTTAAATAAGCACACATTACACTGAATTGTTGGAAGGTCAGAGCCATACAACTCCCTGTAAAGTACGGGGATGTTCCTCCTCTTAACATGTGCTTTAAAAAGGATACACGCAACAGACAAAGAATTTGCTCCTGATTTTTAATAGTATAGTACACTTCTTATAATTAGTCTGGGCTGGATTGTACTCTTACCACAGTCCTGGGCAGAACAATGATGGATGGATACACCATATGAAACCTGCTTTTCCATCGCTTCAGCAAGGAAGGAATATGCTTCAAATGGGGACAAGCTTTCCATACCACACCAGCTCAGCCGTGATAGCAGAAATAACCCTCCATCCTCTTTTATTTTATACTCATTCATCTGTAGGAGGGTTAGTAATGTCACCTAGAAGCTGTTCTCCCTGCACTACAACCTGGGATAGCCTACAAAGGGAAACCAAAGGACACTACACTTCTTTGTTCCTCTGTACTGGCGTGTAATGCGGTATACAGTTATGCCCCCCAAGAGCACAGGTGTGAAAGTGTTCTCTATCATAAAATTTTCTGCAAATATTGTATATATCACGTAAATTGTTTCAAGTTATATAAATATTCATTTAGATTTAATCTGTGTTTTCTAGTGCTCTATCATTTTGTGAACAAGGACCACCGGCCATTTCAGGCCTAGGATGCTAGGCTACCTTCTAAAGAAATGGAGCATATATCTTATCATCTATAAATCACTGAGCAATAATTACCCATTCAGCCCAGATTCATATCTCCCACCTTCTAAAATATTTACTATCTACCGGAGCAGAACTTTTAAGATTGCCCCTCCTCCCCCTCCACAAAGGTAAAGGTGAAAGGACTAGCACCAGGGCATTCTCTCTAGTTTGTGTTCACCTGTGACTATAATAAATATACTATATGTGTATCCCAGCCTAAACCTAACCTTCAGAAAATGCTGTATGATGCACCACTTTTCCTGATCTATTATAAACATTTGTTTCTGATTTCTAGACCTGGTATAAGCAAGTACATGACCAGTAAGTGAAATACAGCCCTTCAATTAAACATGTTACGTGTTATAAATGGAAATAAACCTATGCTGGTAGTTAAAATTGTCTGTTGTCATTTCACTGTTTCAATGAATATCAGGAATTTACTTGTGTTGGTCAATATATACTAGTTACATCACACGTCAATGTGTCTTGATAATCGCGGAAACGGAGTCCTTATTTTGAGATACTTTATAAAAACTCTAGTTTAGCATGAGGAGATGGGAAATTGATAAAATCATTTTATACTGTATCTTTAAACTAATTAACATTTTAATTATAAAACTGAATAGCCTTCCTTTTCAGTATTTCTGATTTTTATTCTCATTGTATTATATATTACTCTCCTTACAGTATTTTGATACAAAAACTAATATTTAAGACTTTTCCTTCACTTAATTAGAAATGTCTCTTTTTCACTGCCCATTAGCCATTATTCTCATGCTTTCATTAGCTTGAGAAAAGGCAATAAAGCTTGAAGCTCTGATACACCCCTTTGGCATGTTGTGCAATCTGTCTGGTTCAATCACTTATAATAGTAATATGCTGAACTTTTAGAGAACTACCTTTGTAACCATTATTAGTTGAATCACGGACCAAATTAGCTGCACTTAACTTTGACAGTGCAAATGCTAAGTAATTTCACTGAAGTAATATGGACTTGTGCAGCTAACAACAAAATTTGATTCCGAATGACCATATATTGCAATATTATAATAATGAATCTAAAATAATACAACCTCTACCTTTTTATTGTAAAATAATATTTAAAGCTGAATGAACTGATATATTGCACTTAAATATGTTTTGAACTATTAAATACCCTATAGACTTTTTATATAACTTTCTTTTGTCTAGTTTCATCAAAAAATGAAAGAACAAAAAAAATCAAATTTGATTTCTTATGTCTAATAACTAGTTTATAAAGGCAAGACTCAGCTGAAATATTTCATCATATTCTGTACTAGTTCTTGGACATCTTGTTTATCAACCAAATGCCATTTTATACATGAGATCCAATAAAAGCAGAGCAATACCTTTTTGCTGCCTAGAAGGCATTTCTATTACCAGATATGGGATTTCAAAGTGAAGTGGGAGCAGAAGTATGCATGTAAGACGAAGAAGACTAAAAAGTTTTTTAGTGCTGCAAAAAGAGGATGAATTGCAGAATATATCTCATTCTAAGTGTGATTACAAGATAACAGAGTTTTTACTCATTTCTGTGATGACCTGAAAACTGATGAGCATATTTAATGATTATCTCTTGGATGACTATACATGATGCCTTGATAAACACTCTGTCAGGGAGTGCTGGCTTGCAGGAGCACAGCTTGGTAATCATGAGAATTCAAAGATGCAGGATATAAAGAAAAAGTGGAGACGATCCCACCAGGTGAATCCAACTGTGGGTAAATAGTTTCCCCCAAAAGGGGGAGTTTTTGAAGGGGTTCTGAAAAAAAATGCAGAAGGCTACTCTTCTCAAACCCATTAGAAAGGAATTTTCAATAGTTTCTGGTTTTGCTTTTGCCTTTTGAGGTCCTTCAGGTGTACACTAGAAGCAGCTAATTAAAAATTTTAAGTATAATTGACACCGATAGTGAAGGGGGGGGGAGGAAAATCAAGATCTTACCTGTGTGACTCCAGGAACCTTGTAGCCTTAGAGGAATAGGAAGTACAGAAATCAGATTAGATATACCATGAGGAGAAGGAAGGAATTCTTTTTTTACTTCACAGCCCCTCAGAAAGCTTTAGAAGTTACAGCTTCCTGCCAGTAAAAGACACTTCTGCTTTTAGTTTTGAGAACTCGCAGTATGTCGCTGCTTACTGCTGCTATTTTGGGTGCCGTGTGTAAAAAAACTATGAACACAGGCACTTTTGTGCAAAACATCATAAGGCCTCCCTGATGTTCATTCAGACCCCAGAATTAAAATGCAGAAGGCTCTAGCAAGCAAAATACAAGCTGATTTTCTTTTTCCTAGTGGAAAAATAAAGCACTCGCTGGCAAGTAACCAAAGTGGTGAGAAGGTAATTCATCTTCTGTGAGAGTATTTTGCAAGTGAAAGGGACATGCCCTCTGTTTAGAGATTAGTCAGGAAAACAAATGATCAATTTAGAGCAGTCACAGAAGTTACATAATAGAAGAGAAGGTTACTGCAGTCTGTTTTTTGCCCTCCAGTAATGATTTTACCAAATCATTTCTGTTCAGAAAAAGTGCCACATGAGAGAACCATATCCAGGATATAGCTTTATGTCTTTCCTTATGTTTTCTGACAGCTTTATGAAAATAAATCTTGTTTTACCCTCCTTGCAGAAGCTTAATAAAACTATTTTTTTGGCCTCTGGCTGTTATATATACACACACACTCATACACTTGCACATTTTGTAGATTGAAAGTTACGTGTGTGTGTGTATATAGCATTTCCTTTCTCTTATTAATCAATTATAAAATAAAATAGTAAAATGTCTTGGATTATAGATAGTTTTGAAGAAGTCATTATAATATAAATAGCATTTTGGAAAAGTTTTACTATGATTGAATTTCATGTTTAATTAATCTACTACGCTATGCCCCAGCAATTTAAAATGTGATCCTGCATGCTTTGTGTACTCTGATAGGAAATTTAATAATATGGAAGCATACAGGCATTTGTATCCCTTAGTTGAAAAAATGCTAAAATAATCATTATTATGATGATTTATATTTATTGTCTATTGATATTGTTTTGGGTGTTCTTCAAACATAGAATTCAAACTGAGAAAAACAAATTACAGATCTTGGTACTGTGAGAAGTCCCTGAACTTATAGCAGATTTTATGAGATTAACACACATTCTGTGTAAATTGTAATTGGGAACTTAATTCCCTAAATCTGGTAGAAAAAATTTCATTTAAATTGTTTTTGATGGGGAAAAACCCTGAGTTTCCAAGTAACATTTTTATGCTGAAATTGTCCAACTTGAACAGAAATTTTGGATTTTTCCCCATTAAAAAATGATAACACCAAAGCAGAAGGGAACACTTCAATTATTCCAGCACCAATTTTCTGGTGAATTTTCTATTCACCAAATGTGTGTGCATGTTTAGCTATACTTGGAGCAACATTTCTTCATCTGGTAGTTTTTAAATGTTATGTTTGACAGAAGTCTCTTTGAAAATGATCAGGAAAGAGAATGTGCTTGTATATTTGCAGGGTATTTCTTAGTCTCTGTCTAGTTTTAAAACATGTAAAATATAATACATACAATGGAACAAACTGCAAACATCTAGACAAGACTGTATGCACATGCTGAACTGTCTGAGTTAAACCCGTGGCTCCTCCCTAGTTTTAAATTGACCAGTTCAGTAGTTGTTGAGGTACATCTTGCTTTTATCTTGATAAAAATCTAGAGCATAATGTGAGATATGTTAGATTATCTTGACTAACACTTTAAATCCAAATCTAGAGCCAGCCTTAAGGTCATCTTCTGTATTTTTATCACTCATATTTTCCTTCTTACTTCAAAAACGGTAATGCTTGAAGGGAGTTGTAAATTCCTGAGAAATATGAAACTCTGCCTCTGATTCATAGAGTCTGATTAGGTGCTAAATAACATCTGAACATAGAGAAAAGGCTCTGGGGAAACCAAAATGATGACTGCCTCCAGAGCCCTTGGCCATGCCATAGCACTTCTCTGCAGGACCAAATAACAGGTCTAGTCTCTAGCAGGGAGGAAGGTGAAGGTGGCTAAGTTAAGAACAGGGTGTGAAGCTACAGCACTCTTTCTGCATCTTTGAAAAAATAGAGCTACATGGATGGACTCGCACACAATAAAACAACACAATTTGGTGCCTTGGGCAAAGCCTGCAACAGCAGCCCACCCTCTCCCTGTGAACAGATCCAGGGGCCACATGCTCCCCCAGGATTGCATGCAGTGGTGGAGTCCCCCATCCCCATGCCCCTCCAGACAAGCTGCTCACACTCTGTCCCATACCCCACCTTGGCTGAGCAGCACCTGTTGGAGCTCTTTCACTTTGGTCTTCAGGGTGATCACCCTACTTGCTCCCCCCACCCCCTGCTACGGTACTGATCACATGATTTGCCATATTGCAGAGTTTTTACCCCAACCCAGTACTGATGTCACCTCATTGTCTTTCCAGGAAGACCATTGAGGATGAAGATTTACTCAATAGGTCAAAACTATTAATTGTTGAAGAAAACAGGAAGAAGGAGATTCATAGATGTAGGGTCAGAAGGGACCTAAGGAGATCATCAAGTCCGACTCCCTGCCGTGGGCTCATCTGATCATATACTGGGCTCATATGATCCCAGCTAGGTAATTATCAAGCCTCCTCTTAAAGACCCCCAAGGTAGGAGCCCGCACCACTTCCCTTGGAAGTTGGTTCCAGATCCTAGCTGCCCTGACTGTGAAATAGTGCTTCTAATGTGCAGCCTGAACCTACTCTCAAACAACTTATCACCATTATTCCTTGTTACTCCGGCAGGTGCACGGGTGAACAGGATCTCTTCCTATTCCCTGCTAGTCCCCCCTGGTAAGTTTGCAGATGGCCACCAGGTCCCCTCTCAGCCTTCTCTTGTGAAGGCTAAACAGGTTCAGGTCCCATAGCCTCTCTTCATAGGGTCTGCCCTGCCGTCCCTGGATCATTGTCATCTGGCTGGGAACTCAGAAGTATAGTATTCACTGAAGAGGGTGAATTTTTGACAGGTGCTGACCTAATAAGGACATGCTAAGTATATATGCAATAACAAAAAGCCTGATGAGGTTACCAGAAAATGGTGAGAGAGAACTTCGACAGAATTAGTAAGGTGGCTTGGCAAGACATGAAAAACACATTTATGTCAGGAAATGAAGGGCCATTGGCCTGAAGCAGATGAGCTTACACACATTATTTAGGTCAAATGAAGCTAAGGGCTTTTTCTATCTTAAAAATGCCAAATTGGAAGGCTCCAAAAAATTGAGAGGAACCCTCCCAGCTAAAAAACTTAGAAATGCTGAGCACAATATTAGCTCCCAGTTGCTGGACAATGCATGAAATGAGCTGAGCAGGGTAGTCCAACAGATTGATTACTGATCCATGGTATAAATTATGAGAGATAGTAAATGATGAGATACAGTATTTGAATGCAAATTTAAGTTTCCAGCAATTGAACTACACTGGATGTGTGTTTATAGGTTAGCTATGCACATGACATTGATTTAGTGATATAGTAAAACATCACTTTTTTCCCCTTTGTCTGTGGTAATGTTATGAAATATGTTAACTATCACTAGACCTTCTGTTATTAATATTCAAAGTAAATAATTATGCTTGTCCTAATATAGACAAATAGAATTACCCTGTTAGCTCTTTCCTGATCTCACAGCCCATGTCATTTCCTGCAGAGAAGGGTCTCAGAAATACGGTAGCTTTCAGCAGCCTCTGTCACCTTGATTGTTGTCACAGCTTCCCTCCAAGGTATGTTAAAAGCCTAACATCAGCTGGCTCTGTGGGGGAGATCCATTGCTTGCTGACAGCACAATTAGAAGCACAATCAAAAAGGACGGAAAAACCCAATTCATATAAAATAAGCAGTATCCTTTGTTTACTGCCTAAACAAAAACCTTTCTGAGAGTTTGGAAAATCTGAGTAAACTTTATTTAAAAATAAAATAGCACATTCATTTTCACATTAAAGTGTACAAGCTGGGGATTGGGAAGGGAAGTGCCATATTCCAGTGTAAGTGCCATTTCTAGTGCCATAGTCCAGTGAAAGTGCCACTTCTAACACAACCAGAAGAAGAATTTTGTAGATCTGTGTGTCTTAGTTAAGCACCTTTTCAGAGCTATCCATCTGGATAGTTAAGATGAGGCGGAAAAAAATGGGAGCTGATTAAAATCACTGAGCAATTTTGTGGTTTGACCATCCATCAATCAGTTGCAATATTCCTTTCTTTTATTTATTTTTTTGCTTTTACAGAGATTTACAGTGCAAATATACTTGAATTACTGTGCAAATATAATGAGACTAGACTATAGCATTTTTAATGTCCTCATTGTGATGATTTGGAAAATTGCAGTTTTTTTCTGAAGGTCTTGAATAACACAATAAATTATTCTATGTGAGAAGCCAATGCTGCTTTCCCCCAGGTTAAAAAAAGAAGGCATTTTCACCATGTTTGGCCTTTTATTTCATTAAAAAGAAAAAAGAAAATTACCAAAGTAAAATAAATAAATAAAAAGATTACAATAATCAAGGACAACTCTTATGCCAGGACATTAGGAAGGCAGGGAGCAACTCACATTTCTTTTTAAGTGATTCTATACTTGTAGATTCATCCAGCAGCACTGGTAGGCTTCATGTGGATTTTTATCCAGTTATTGCCCATTATATGAAGGTTTCATCATTATAAAGGACCTTCTGGAAGATCAGTTAAATGCTGGAAATCTTGAAAAACCCAGAGTGAAGTCTGATTAACCCTTTTCCCTCACAGGGAGAAAAGTAAAGAGAGCTTTATGATTTATTTTCCTTCTTCAAATTCTTTTTCTAAGGTCTAGAATGAACTGATTGTACAAGTGGAGGTTTAAATGGGTCTTCAGTGACAGACAAGCTTTGTCCTGGGCCTCTAAAGCTGGAAGGAAGAAAGGACTTTGACTTTTTATCTACTTTATTCAGAGGTTTGGGGTACCTTCACAGTATTACACGTGATGCCTAAGATGCCATTATGCAGTCCGGACACCCAGCCACATGGTTATACAGACCAAAGCCCTCTGTAAACAAACAATTCCTACTGTCCAATCATACATATGACAAAACCTTCAACTTCCCCCACACAGAAAAAAAG